TTATAAATATTTATATTTTAAGTTTTTTTATTTTTTCTGTAATTTTTTTGAATACACATAAAAAAGGCGGACACCCCTTTTTTTCTCTCTTTCTTTAAATTAAGTATATAAAATAAATACAGAGAAAATAAAATAATAAACACAAGTGAAATAAAAAATTATGAACACGTAATAATTTATATAATTTAAAATACATATGTATATCTAAATCTTTAATATTTTTAAATATAATCACTCAAAATTAATTAATAAATTGTATTTAGCTTTAAACCCATTTTACAATAAAGAATAAATTTATTGATTAACTTAATTAAAATTAAAAAAAAATATTAAAAGGCTATAAAAAATTAACAAATATATATATATATATATATATATATATATATATATATATATATATATATATATATATATTATATATATTTAATATAAATTTTAGTTAATTAATTGTTATTTTTTTTAAAAGGGCAACATATATATTAATATATATAAATAATTATTTATTTTTTGTTTTATTATCTGTTTTTCTGAAAATAAATCATAATCGTACGATTCTGCTAATAAATTAATTATTTATATTAATTATTGAATTTATTTTAAAAATATATATTTTAATCAAATTGCAAACAAAATAAATTAATTTTATAAATAAAAAAACTAATTATAATTTGTATTTAATAATTAAATATATTTTTTTTAATTTAAATATTTTTATAGACAAATATATTATTATTATCTTTTGAAAAAAAAAAAATATATTTTTAATATACATTTTAATTATATTATATATAAATTATTTATTTTTCATAGTTTTAATGGTAAGAAAGTCATAATTGGAACACTTAAAACTAAATCCGGGTTTTTTAAGTCTTTTACAGGTTCAATAGTAATTTTCTTAAGATTATTTAAAATTTTTCCATCAACAAGAATTGAAAAAGGATTATTTTTTTGTTCATTAATAGTAATATTTTCAATAGGGATTGAAGTGAATAAAGCTTTAAAAGCAGCTTAAATTTAATCTCCTTAAGAAAAAAAAATTAAAATAAATAAAATATGTATTTACTTCCATGCTTTTTGAAAATATGTTTTTATTTTAAATTAGTATCAAATAATTTAGAGTTTTCTGAAGTAATACAAGTAAATTCCAACCAATGAGAATTCGGAAAAGGCGTATTTCCTTCAAAATATTCTTTATATACATTATTTATTTTGATGCTATTTATATTTTCCTCGAAAATTTCTTCTTTCCATAAATTACCTAAATAATCTATACTTAAGAATTAAATTCTAAATTAATGTCCTCCAAATTTAATTTAATTTTTTCTTTTAAATCATAATAGCTTAAATTTTCTTTCTTTCTTTCTCTTTACATGAACTTTTCTGCTTCTACTGGTTCGCCGATTTCTACATATTAGCAAAAAAACACATTTTTTTATTAAATACTTTCATCATTCCAAGTGCAATTTATTTTGTAAACTCTTACATTAAAAGCCCTATTAGCTTCTCTGACATATGTATGTAATGCATCAAGCCTTAATTTATAAGGAAGAGTGATATTATTTTTATTTTCATTTGAAAAGAACAATTCTTATTAATTTATTTTGCCAGTTTCAGATGTATGTTCATATTTTGGAATAAGAGTTTCCTCATTAAAAGGAATGTATAAATATCTTTAGTACCAAACGTCTTTTGAGGCAATAAAATGTGCCAAAGTGCTTTTTTTACATGGAACTAAAAATATTCTTAAATCAAGTTTTTTCATATCAACCTTTTTTTCTTCATATTCACAAAATAGTTCGCCTATAAATTATATAAATCCATGAAGTTCTGCGTCTCCTCCCATTACAATGAATCTATGGGGCTCTTAATAAAGGGGTATTTGATTAATTTTATCATTATTAAAAAATTTTTCTTTGAGTTTATTTAATACATCTTTCTTTCGTTTAGAATCACCTTCTTCTGCTAATGGGAAATAAATTGTTTAGTAAATTTGATCATATTCTTCTTTAATTGATTAAAATGCCTTTATAGGATTATTTTATTTTTATTGTTAGATTTATTTCATTGTACTTTATTTTTATAATTATTAATTAATGTTGAATTTTTATATAGGATCAAATGTGCAATAAGGATATTCTGGTATAAAAGTGACCATATTTTCTTATATTATATTATAAATAGATTTTGGTTAGGAAACATTTTCGTCAGGTAAATCTCTTATTTCTTTTGTTATCTATTCGAATACTTCTTCTTAGATTAATCTACTTTCTATTAAAGCGTCTAGTTCATCACATTTTTCTATTACATTTAAAAGACGGCAATAAAGTTTGAATATATCTTTTGGATTTTTTCTACATATACTACTTACTATGTCTGTATCATCTTTTTAGTTAATTTAATTATCATTTATTTATATTTTTGTTATGCTTAGCATATTTATAACTAATGCAGTTCTTAATATATGTGTATTTGAAACTTTATTTTAATTTACTAATTTATTACTATATGTACATAAGTAATTTATTTCCGTTTATTCTTTATCTGCAATTATATAAGCTTTATAAAGAGCTTATTGTGTTCCTTTTTCTTTTTGATCTTTTTTCATACTTTTTTTAAAGATAAAGAATAAATATTATAATTTTTTTACTTATTTTAACTAATAGAAGATTCGTTTTTATTTTCTTCATTTTATTAAAATTCTTATGTTTGTTCATCTTAATTTTCTTCTTATATATCTACATCTGGAATATCTTCTCTAATCTAATATTTTTTATTATTATCATTATTTAAATAAAAAAATACTTTATAACGAAAAGCATTTCCTTTAGATTTAAATTCCGCAAATAATAAAGTTACCAGCTCTTAAGCTAAATTACCTACTGGATAAGGCCATCTTCTAAAAATCTATACTTAAGCCAAAACTGATCTTATTGATTCTAAATCTTTTGCTCCGTAAAAAGTAAAAGTTTATTTTGTTAAATGGAGCAAGCACAAAATGCTTTTTTCGGCTTGGTCAGGCCATTCCTTTGCAATTTAAGGTAAAACTTTAAAATACCTTACAATAGAATCAAAAACCACCCTCGGAACTTATCTGTTTTTAGATCGTAGAAAAGATTGAAAATACTCATAGGCATAAGTCAATTCTCCTGTTTCTTAAAGTTCAGATTCTTACAATAAAAGGGCGCTATAATAAGGCTGATTTTCACTTTTCACTTATTTAGTATAGGATTCTAGCTGCGTGAAATATTCTATTTAAAAAAATAAGTAATATATTTTGAAAAAAAAAAATACATTTTAAATGATCTGCCATAGCAGATTCTTAGTTTAAATTATCAAGATTTTACTTTGTTAAATTAGGAAAAAAACAAATTTATCCAACTAAATTAGAAATAAAATTGGTTTCATCGTTATCAACATGATAATAAAACAAATTCTCAATAATTGATTAAGTATACGGGCATATATTTTATTTTTAATTATTATCTTTATATTAATCTTTTATTTATATTAATTCACTCTTTTTATTTTTCTAATCTAAATCAGTATACATAGATACTACAAATAATGTACATAAGGATGTTTCTAATGATAAATATTTATTACTAAATTTTTTTATTTTTCTAAATCATATATTGTCTCAATCAGCTTTGTTACATATTGAAATGAATTTTCTGGAATATTTAAATCTGCCCAGAATTTATTATATTCTTAAGGTTTTAATTTTTAATTTGTTAAAAAAGATGGTGGCTTTAATATTCTTGCCATTACGTCTTTGAAAGGATTATTATTTGCCATATTTGTTTTTTTGAATTTTTAGATTTTCCTTGTTTATAATTTATAATATTTTAATATTCAGTTATTTATTTATGTTACTATAAATTAAAAATAAATAAATAAAAATTTAATTATATTTAAAAAAAAAATATAAAAAATTGATAGGATTAAATTCTTAGAAAAATCTTTTTATTTTATCAAAAAATAAAATTAAAAAATGAATTTTTTTTTTTTCAAAACTTTATTTAGACGTTAAAACTTTAATTAGTTAATATTTAAAAGGCAAAGTTTACAAAAATAAACTTTGAAACATTTATTATTAATTGCTGGAGTTAATTTTACTTGGAATATGTAAAAGAAATTGTCATGTTAAAATGAAACAGATTAAAAATTAAAAGTTGATGATAATAAATAATAAAAATTAGACGCAATGAAACAATTATAAAGGGTTAAAAAACCATAAATATATTAATATATAATTTAAAAAAGTACGAAGTTTGTGAATCATCATAAATAAAAGAAGGATAAATATTTTCAGTAAGAAACATATATTTTTATAATATATATATATTTATTACTATTATAGTATACTGTAAAAGATGGAGATAATTCTGAATATGAATTACTTATAATAAGATATTAAGGAAAATTATATTGTGTAGGAGGTAATAAAATTCTTGAAAATTTTAAACAATAATAATTAAAATATAAAATAGGAATTGACACTTATGATGGTAAAACAAGCTTAAAAAATGGAATTTGTTTTGAAAATAAATTATATAGCCCATAAAATGGTTCAGCATTTAATATATAAACTGGTTTACCTGAATTAGCTCCTGCGATAGATGAGTTACCCCGATTTTATGTGGAGGAAGTAATTTAAATTAATAAAAAAAATGATAATATAATAAAAATTAAAAAGAAATAAGGAAAAGTAATAATTTATATACCTAAATATATTCCTAAAAGAATAGTACCCGCGTTTCAAACTAAATATGCAAGTGATTTTAGAAAAGTGGTTATAATAGGATGTAAAAAAATAAAAATAAAAAAATAAAAATGAAAAAATAAAGCTGGGCCAGCGGCTTTTGGAGCGATAGAATCTTTAAGATTAACTGGTTATACTGGAGAAATAACATTAATAACAAAAGGAACAAAACTTCCTTATGATAAAACTAAATTAACAAAGAGTTTCAAAAATTTAAATTATAAAAATCTTTATTTAAGAGACGAAGATTGGTACGAATCAACTGGAATTAATTTTATGTTAGGAAGGGAAGTCGTATATGTTGATAAAACTGTAAAAAAAAAATTGTTTGTTTTTTTTAATTAAAAAAAAGCATGGTTCTCCTTATGTTTTACTTGAAGATGGTCTTAAAATTGAATATGATGGACTTATTGTTGCAACAGGTGTCTCTCCTGAAATAAGGGAAATAGAAGGACTTTAGGAAAAAGAAAATGTGAGTTTTTTATATAATATGGAACACCATAAAAAGATAAAATACTATTTAGAAAGTGCAAAGCATATTGTAAAATATAATCGTATTTATTAAAAAAACTTTTTACTAATTATTAAAAAAACAAAAGACAATTTTAGGTAATAGTATTAGAACAATGGAATGCGCTTCAACTATAAAAAAGGAATTCCCTCATATTGATATTTGGGTTGTAGATGAAAATAAAAAACCAGTAATGGGTTAAGAATACGGCGAAGAATTATATGATCAGATTCTGAAGTATTAAAATTAATGATAAATATATATATATATATATATATTTAATATAAAAGTATTGCCCTTGATAATAAAATAAAATTTGTTATGAAGAATAAAGTAAAAAAAATAGAAGCAGATTAAAAAGATTAAAATAAAGCCAAAAAAATAATATTTTAATCAGGAGTAAATAAATTATTTCAGTATATTTTTTTATTTAAATAAAAAGTTGTAATTAGATACTGATTTAATAATATTAATGCCAAATAATTTTAAAGCTAACACTTAATTTTTATTACATCCCGAATTAGATTAATTAGAATTTGAAGATGACTGCAAAATAAGGTGTGATTATAATACTAGAACTGACTATAAACGTATATTTGCTGCAGGAGCGAATTCATCTGCAGTTTATTTTGCTCTTAATAATAGAGTAAATTTATATAAATGTTTTCTTTAAAAAAAAATAAAAAAATAAAAAATATCAGATTTAATTAAATGAATGGAATACAGCTTATCATTAAGGAGTGACTTCAGCGTATAATGTTTTAGCTTTAGTAATTTTTTTTTTTTTACTTTATTTTTTAAATAAATATATCTTTATAAAAAATATAAATAAAAAGGACATACCTTGGCATCAAATACCCTTTTATTAATATGAATTTTTCGGAAAAATACTTCAACATGTTGGATATTAAAAATTCTAGAACGAGACTTTAATTCAAGGAGATTTAAAAAATTGGGATTTTGTGGCATTTCATTCTCAATAAGATGAAATTTTATCAGTTACAGGTTCTCCTTCTTAATAAAATAGAATTAATATTTTGAATGAGGCTATAAGATTATCCTTAATGCCTACATTGAGTGAAATTAAAATAAACAAATACAAATATAAGATATAGAAGAGGCTATTAGATTATCTAAAAAAAGCGGCTGCTATAAAAATGTTGTGTAAAGTTTATAAGATAAAGTTAATAATAAAGATGTTATTTGGTATTATAGAGAAAGATAATCGACTTATTATGATTTTAATGAAGAAGGAAAAATGCCTGATTAAAATTATAGAGGAGAAGGCTTAGATGAATGAAAAAAAAAATCTTTTATTTTTTAAATATTAAAAAAAAAAAAACATATATTTTTTTTATAAAGTTGAGAGAATATTAATATATACATATTTTTTAATATATTTTTAATAAATACAATTTATAATTAAATTTAATAATGTATAATATATATTATTATAATTTTTCTAAAATTAGAAATAAATATTATTCTATTTTAATTTTTTAATTTTATAAAATTATATTACTAAAATACAATAAAAAATACACTTAAATATGAGAAAAAAAAGCAATTTTAATAAAGAATCTATAGTAAAATTACCTCGTATTCAAAATACTTAAAAAAATACAAATGAAAATACACCTATGAACGAAGCGAAAAACAAACGATTATAATTATTATCTGAAATTGATGAACCTTAATTTAATCAATAAAAATTTAATAGAAATACAATAACTAATTGCTAAGCAGATTCTAATAAAAACTAATTTAGTGAATTTTCTTTATACGTGAAACTCGCATTAAATAGTACTCCTAAAAACTCTCTTTGCTAAGAATAAACAAGTTAAAGTCATGATAAGTTGAGTGATTATAATACACCTAAAGCCATTAATTAATTAAGAATTCGGAAAATGGGTTCAAAGATGTTTTTTAATTCTCCTTAATTAATATCAAATAAAAATTATTTTACTTAAGAACTTATTGTAAATGATGAACTTATAAATGAAATAAAATAATTTTTACCTTAGATAAATGTGAACCTTAAATAATTTGTCAAAAATGATAATTATTTAGTAAATTTAATTAATAATTTTTATCAATCAACTTCAGAATAATTTATTTTCGATATTTTCCAGTTGCTAAATTAACAAATAAACTAAAATTCTTAATTCTAAAATAATTATCAAATAAATACAAATAATAAAAGAAAAAATCAATTAGTTTTTGATAAATAAATAATAGACTAAATAAGAAATTTAATTAAAAACACAATATGTAATTTTATAAATAAAATATGTCTAATTATAAAAAAAATTATAAATATTTTTTACAAAAAGAAAATTCCGAAAATAAATCATAAATTTTACAATTTTTCGAATAAATATTGTAATAATTAGAGCCAAAAAACTTATATTAAGAATTATATGGATAATAAAATTTATTAAAATTAATATAGCTTTTTTAATAATAATATTTCGAAACAAATGTAAGTTCTTATTATAAAAAAAAAGATTTAACATAATATATAGATATAATAGTAGATTTACTTACAAATGATATTTTTTATAAAGAAAATATTATGGAATAGTTCTCTTAATTAGAAATCTCAAAGTGCGATTTAACATATATAAAACTAACTATTTTGAATATGTTTTAAACCAAAAATGAGATTTACCCAAAATAATTGTGTTATAAAATATTATCTGCTGTAGAAAAAATGAGGTTTATATTAGTTAAATAAAATAGGGATTTTTCAAATGAGGTTCTTGAAGATAAAAAATTAAAAAAGTAATTTATTTATTAAATAAAAGAACTTAAGTTTAGTAAATATGTTAAATCTATTGATTAATTAGCCAATAATATGTTACTTTTTTCATTTAATTTTATAGATTGTGTAAGTTTATATAAACATTTAAAAAATAATATGTAAATAGACTTAAATTTAGAGGATTTAGATTAAATTTAAATGATTTTGTCTAATTTTCTGAATAAATATTTTGACATAGATTTTTGTTATTTATTAGATTTCAAAAATAAATTTGAAAATATTAAAATTTTAATTTAATAATAAGAATAAAAAAAAATTATTGTAAAATATATTTATTTATTTATATATTTTAAAAATATTTAAATAGTACTAGATGATTATTTAAGTTTTAAAATATAATTTCAAGATAATTTGATTTAATATTCTATATAATATTAACTTAATACTAATTAATAAATAGCATTAATAGATATTAGACCCTTTGAATACTATTTGTAATTATATTGTAATGATTTTGATGCTTTTTCTTTTAACGATTTGAGAGTTTTAAAATTTATTTACAAAATGAATGAATTTACATTAGATGCTTAATCTTAATGTTTTATCTAAGCTTTATAAAGTAACAGTAATTTCAGTTAAGAATAGCTAAATTAAATAAGTGATAAAATCAAATATAATTTTAGTCTATTAAAGTGATTTGTTTTATTTATTACAAAATAAATTACTTGAAAAGCTATCCATATTGATTTCAATTTGTTAATTTTCAAGAAATTATTAACAATTATAATACATGAATTTTTTTTATATTTATATTCAAATTTAATAAGGTTATTAATTATTATTTTATATAATTAATAATTAGAACTTTTGTATTAAGAATTTTATTTAAATTTATAATATAATTTGTTTATATTATTCTTTTTAACTTTTTTGTATTTTTTTTTTAAAAAAAAATTCTATACAACAAAAATAATAGCAATTTATCCATATTCCTCGCCTCTTAAATAATTAAAAAAAAGTTTTCTAAATTTTATAAAAAATTAAATTAATATAGTTGGTTAACACATTTATTAAAGGAAATCAAATATACAAAGAATATAAAAAAACAAGATTTTATGCATAATTTAATTATAAATATTTTTCTTTTAAACTATACTTTTTTAAAAAAAATATAATATAATTTTATATATGCTAATATAAATAAAAGTTTTTTGAATTATAATTTTATTATTTATAATTTATTGAACATATATAATATAATATAATATAATTTATAGTTTTAAAAGCATATTTTAGTTTTATTTTATAAAAAATATTTAATAGATTTATTATTATAAAATATTTTTATTTACTAATATTTATAATATAAATATTAATAATTTTTCAATTTATATAAACATTTTTTCAAAATTTTAAAAAAATAAAAATAAATTAATAACTATTAATGTTAATATTTTTTATACATATGATTTTAATTTTAGTTTTTTCAAATTAATTTATTTATTTTTAATCAACATAATTATTAATTTTTTAATAAAATATAGGCTACTTATTTTATATCATATATTTAATTTTTTCCATCAAAACATTATTATGTATAGAATATTTTTTATTGCTATTTTCTTTTGCAAATTAAGAAGTTCCTTATGAATTTTATTGGGTTGACTAATCAATTTATTTGTTTTTAACAAATTTTTCAGATTCTTTTTTTGAAACGAATCTACCTTTTATTCTAACTCTTTAATCTGCTACTCTTTTTCTGCAATCATAAGAAATTTTTCTAGTCCAAACTCTTTTCTTTTATTTGTATTTTTAAATTTTAAGTTTTCGCTCTAAATTATATTTCAAAGTATATATATTATCTTATGATATATTTGAAGAACATAATTAATATTATTAAAATAATTAATTTTAAAGATTAAAGTTTTTTTAAAAAAGGATTCTTAATTGTGTAATGTTTATTATTATTATTATTATTATTATTATTATTATTATTATTATTATATTTATTAATTGTATTCTTATTTACATTATTATTCATATTTTTATATCTATTATTACTAAATGAGGATAGGTTATTAAAATTTTACCATTTTTATTTATGATTGTTTTTAATAATAATATAAATTAAGTAATAATAATAACTGCTATTATGATTCTGATATTAAATGTAATTGATTAGATTTTTATTTTATTTTTTACATTTTATTTTAATTTTTTATTTTAATATTTTTTATTTGTATGTTTATTATTATCTTGAATTATTTATTTTTGGATATATTTTATTATTCTTTTAATTAAAAATTACAAATTATTATTTTCTTATTTTTATAGTTCTGAAAATTTAAATTTACGTCAACATTAAAAATTATATAATAAAATAATAAAATATTTTAGCAAATATATTAATTATTTTATATTAATTTAAAAAAAATTTAATCTAAAATAAATAATAAATATTAATTTTACTATAATCTATTCTAAAAAAC